CTGAAAAGATTTTGCATGGGTCCCCAGATACTCAATAAGTTATACAGCTGCACCATCAAGAGCATCCTCACCGGTTGCGTCACCACCTGGTATAGCAACTGTGGCACTACAGAGGGTAGTGCGTATAGCCCAGTACATCACTGGGGCCAAGCTTCCTGCCATCCAGGACCTATATCCTAGGCGGTGTCAGAGGAAGGCCCAGAAAATTGTCAAAGACTCCAGTCACTCAAGTTGTAGACTGTTCTCTCTGCTACCGCACGGCAAGCAGTACCAGAGCGCCAAGTCTAGGTCCAAAAGGCTCCTTAACAACTTCTACCCCCAAGCCATAAGACTGCTGAACAATTAATCAATTTGGCCCATTCCTTCTGACAGAGCTGGTGTAACTGAGTCAGGTTTGTAGGCCTCCTTGCTCGGACACACTTTTTCAGATCTGCCCACAAATGTTCTATAGGATTGAGGTCAGGGCTTTGTGATGGCCAGTCCAATACCTTGACTTTGTTGTCCTTAAGCCATTTTGCCACAACTTTGGAAGTACGCTTGGGGTCATTGTCCATTTGGAAGACCCATTTGCGACTAAGCTTTAACTTCCTGACTGATGTCTTAAGATGTTGCTTCAATATATCCACATAATTTTCCTTCCTCATGATGCCATCAATTTTGTGAAGTGCACCAGTCCCTCCTGCAGCAAAGTATCCCCACAGCATGATGCTGCCACCCCCATGCGTCACGGTTTGGATGGTGTTCTTCGGCTTGCAAGGTCCCCCTTTTTCCTCCAAACATAACGATGGTCATTATGGCCAAACAGTTTTATTTTTGTTTCATCAGACCAGAGGACATTTCTCCAAAAAGTACGATCTTTGTCCCTATGTGCAGTTGCAAACCGTAGTCTGGCTTTTTTATGGCAGTTTTGGAGCAGTGGCTTCTTCCTTGCTGAGCGGCCTTTCAGGTTATGTCGATATAGGACTGTGGATATAGATACCTTTGTACCTGTTTCCTCCAGCATCTTCACAAGGTCCTTTGCTGTTGTTCTGGGATTAATTTGCACTTTTTGCACCAAAGTACGTTCATCACTAGGAGACAGAACGCGTCTCCTTCCTGAGCGGTATGATGGCTGCGTGGTCCCATGGTGTTTATACTTGCGTACTATTGTTTGTACAGATGAACGTGGTACCTTCAGCCGTTTGGAAATTGCTCCCAAGGATGAATCAGACTTGTGGAGGTCTACCATTGTTTTTCTGAGGTCTTGGCTGATTTCATTAGATTTTCCCATGATGTCAAGTAAAGAGGCACTGAGTTTGAAGGTAGGCCTTGAAATACATCCACAGGTACACCTCCAATTGACTCAAATGATGTCAATTAGCCTATCAGAAGCTTCTAAAGCCATGACATCATTTTCTGGAATTTTCCAAGCTGTTTAAAGGCACAGTCAACTTAGTGTATGTAAACTTCTGACCCACTGGAATTGTGATACAGTGAATTATAAGTGAAATAATCTGTCTGTAAACAATTGTTGGAAAAATGACTTGTGTCATGCACAAAGTAGATGTCCTAACCGACTTGCCAAAACTATAGTTTGTTAACAAGACATTTGTGGAGTGGTTGAAAAACAAGATTTAATGACTCCAACCTAAGTGTATGTAAACCTTTTTTTTACATTTTACATTTTAGTCATTTAGCAGACACACTTATCCAGAGCGACTTACAGTTAGTGTGTGCATATATTTTCATACTGGCCCCCCGTGGGAAACGAACCCACAACCCTGGCATTGCAAGCTCTATCAACTGAGATACAACTGTAAAAGCATGTTTAGCAGATGTTATTGTTCTATCTTTACCAGATGTTATTGTTCTATCTTTACCAGATGTTATTGTTCTATCTTTACCAGATGTTATTGCGGGTGTAGCTAAATGCTGGTGTTCCTAGCTCCAATAGTGCAGTAGTATGTAACACTACACAACAATACACACACATCTAAAAGTAAAAGAATGGAATTAACAAATATATAAATATTAGGACGAGCAATGTCGGAGTGGCTTTGAGTAAACTACAGTAGAATAGAATACAGTATGTACATGAGATGAGTAAAGCAGTATGTAAACATTATTAAAGTGACTAGTGTTCCATTATTAAAGTGGCCAGTGATTCCATGTCTATGTACATAGGGCAGCAGCCTCTAAGGTGCAGGGTAGAGTAACCGGGTGGTAGCCGGCAAGTGATGGCTAACAGTCTGACGGCCTTGAGATAGAAGCTGTTTTTCAGTCTCTCGGTCCCAGCTTTGATGCACCTGTACTGACCTCGCCTTCTGGATGATATAGGGGTGAACAGGCCTTGGCTCGGGTGGTTGATGTCCTTTATGATCTTTTTGGCCTTCCTGTGACATCGGGGGCTGTAGTTGTCCTGGAGGGCAGGCAGCGTGCCCCCGGTGATGCGTTGGCCAGACCGCACCATCCTCTGGAGAGCCCTGCTGTTGCGGGCGGTACAGTCTGTAAAAGTTTGTGAAGTTCTTACGGGCCAAGCCGAATTTCTTCAGCGTCCTAAGGTTGAAGAGGCACTGTTGCGCCTTCTTCACCACACTGTCTGTGTGGGTGGACCATTTCAGATTGTCATTGATGTGTACGCCGAGGAACTTGATGCTTTCCACCTTCTCCACTGCGGTCCCGTCGATGTGGAAAGGGGTGTGCTCCCTCTGCTGTTTCCTGAAGTCCACGATCAGCTCCTTCATTTTGTTGACATTGAGGGAGAGGTTATTTTCCTGGCACCACTCCGCCAGGGCCCTCACCTCCTCCCTGTAGGCTGTGTCGTCATTGTTGGTAATCAGGCCTAATACTGTTGTGTCATCTGCAAACTTGATGATTGAGTTGGAGGCGTGCTTGGCCACACAGTCATGGGTGAACAGGGAGTACAGGAGGGGGCTGAGCACACACCCTTGTGGGGCCCCTGTGTTGAGTATCAGCGAAGTAGAGATGTTGTTTCCTACCTTCATCACCTGCGGGCAGCCCGTCAGGAAGTCCAGAACCCAGTTGCACAGGACGGGGTTCAGACCCAGGGCCTCGAGCTTAATGATGAGCTTGGAGGGTACTATGGTGTTGAAGGCTGAGCTATAGTCAATGAACAGCATTCTGACGTAGGTATTCCTCTTGTCCATATGGGATAGGGCAGTGTGCAGTGTGATGGCGATTGTATCGTCTGTGGATCTATTGGAGCGTAAGCAAATTGAAGTGGGTCTAGGGTGTCAGGTAAGGTAGAGGTGATATGAGCAAGTGGGGACAGCAGACTGGGATAGGGAGAGATTGAATACATCCGTAAACACTCCAGCCAGCTGGTCTGCGCATGCTCTGAGGACACGGTTAGGGATGCTGTCTGGGCCGGCAGCATTGCGAGGGTTAACACGCTTAAATGTCTTACCCACAGTCCTTGGGAGCAGGCCACGTCGGTGGCACTGTGTTATCCTCAAAGCGGGCGAAGAAGGTGTTTAGCTCGTCCAGGAGCAAGACGTCAGTGTCCGAGACGTGGCTGGTTATCCCTTTGTAATCCTGCCACATACGTCTCGTGTCTGAGTTGTTGAATTGTGACTCCACTTTGTCTCTGTACTGACGTTTTGCCTGTTTGATTGCCTTATGGAGGGAATAACTCCACTGTTTGTATTCGACCATATTCCCAGTCACCTAGCCATGGTTAAATGCTGTGGTTCGTGCATTTTTGCTTTCAGTTTTGCACGAATGCTGCCATCTATCCACGGTTTCTGGTTTGGGTAGGTTTTAATAGTCACCATGGGAACAACATCCCCTATACACTTCCTGATAAACTCAGCCACTGTGTCCGTGTATACATCAATGTTATTCTCAGAGGCAACCTGGAACATATCCCAGTCCGCGTGATCAAAACAATCTTGAAGCATGGATTCCGATTGGTCAGACCAGCGTTGAATAGACCTTAGCGCGGGTACTTCCTGTTTGAGTTTCTGCCTATAGGAAGGGAGGAGCAAAATGGCGTTGTGATCTGATTTGCCGAAGGGAGGTCAGGGGAGGGCCTTGTAGGCACCTCGAAAAGGCGAGTAGCAGTGATCTAGTGTTTTTCCTAGGCGAGTACTACAGTCAATGTGTTGATAGAACTTCAGTAGCGTTTTCCTCAAATTTGCTTTGTTAAAATCCCCAGCTACAATAAATGTGGCCTCAGGATATGTGGTTTCCAGTTTGCACAAAGTCCAGTGTAGTTCCTTGAGGGTCGTTGTGGTATCGGCTTGAGGGGGAATATACACGGCTGTGACTATAACCGAAGAGAATTCTCTTGGTTGTCATATTGACCATCTATAATGATCCTTTCCCTTTCAGGCTCAAGATCCATCCTCTCCAACCAGGAGAGGAGGGAAACCATCCAAGGTAGGCAGAGGAAACTGCAGTCCTATTGTCTTCTTAAACTCTTAGAGTTGGCATGGCAAGGTGCAAGGTGTGTTTTACAAGGATTGTTTGTTTGGCTTGCAGTTAACGGTGTGTTGTTGTGGATGTTGTTCTTGTTGTTGCTGTTGTTGTTGTTCAGGGGATAACAATATAACCATAACAATACAAACATTGAAAAATATGGATATGTCTGCTTTCACTGAGGACTGTGACTTATGGCACTGATTGTTTTGGAGTTCAGAAAACACATTGTTCTGAAGTTAAGCTAACAAAATGCTTGAAAGTTCAGCTAACAGAATGGGCGGCAGGTAGCCTAGCGGTTAAGGGCCAGTAACCTAAAGGTTGCTGGTTCGAATCCCCTAGGTGAAAAATCTGTCGGTGGCCTTGATTGCTCCTGTAAGTCGCTCTGGATAAGAGCGTCTGCTAAATGACTAAAATGTAGAGTGCAACTTGGTTTGTGGAAGGCTGTTTTCAAACTGACCAATGTAAGGCTCAAATCCCTTCAAGCATGGCTGTCCTCTCTGCGCATGGTTTTCTTTGGATTGGTACTTCCCTCAATGGAGACAATGACGAAAATATCCCCCTTTTGCTTTCCATCTAAGATGGCGGAGGATAGCCAACAGAGGAAAGACAGTCTTCTTCAACCTGGTCCATCCAGACCTCACCCAGATGCAGGACCCACTGTGAGAACATCCACCCAGCCCTCCATCGCCTCTCTTACTCTTCCTTCCAAAGAGGCATTGTCAGCATTGTACCAACAGCGACAGAAAGTTGAGCTGCGGAGGCTCCTGAAGCACACCCACCCGGAGCTGAGGAACCTGGAAAGCCTGGATTGGGTGGTGGATCAGGAGCTGGCTGAGGTGCTGCATTTAGAAACCCAGCTGATCGCTGGCGAGACCGGATACGAGGGAGAGGTCCTGTCCAGGCGGTGGATATTTGAGAACAGTGTACAGAGCAATACTGTGGATCCCCACACTTCTAAAATGCACATGGCGGAGGGGGCCGGGGTTGGAGTTGCGGTTGGGGTTGGGGTTGGGGCTGGAGTTGGGGCTGGGGTTTGGGGAGACGTGAAGAGAACATCAGCCTTGTTTGAGAAACCATGGTATAACCAGAACCTTCAGGAGGAGAGGGTTAAAGGAACCACGGACCAGGTGGAGAGGACTGATGCTGCTCATGGGGAACTTACTGAGTGTGAGGAGGAATTGGTTAGGATGGAAGTCCAGTCTGCTAGGAGGATGTTTGAGAGCCAGCAGGTCGACACCCTGAGGGCCAGCCAGGAGGACGTGGCCCTAAACAAGGTTTTCGTGTCAGAGGACGAGAGGGGAGCTGTTCAGAAGAGAAAACAAGCATTTGAGGCAAGAAGCAGTAAGACAGTTCAGCGAGAGATCAAAAGCCACATTTGTTTTAAAAATCTTGATGTGAGTTCTCAGTCTGAGGGAGAAGCTCTGGGTGTCGGTGTTAATAGTGCTGAGCCTGAGGTCGGCAAAGTCCAGCCACAGCATGAAGGGGTCTCCACAGTCAAACAGGTCTTTGAGAGAAAGTCACAGTGTGCTTCAAACGCAGATGTTGACGTTGAAACTAGTCCAAGAAGTCCAAAGTATCAGTGTACTTCTCTACTTGAAAACAGAGCAATAAACAAAACTGGAAAACCATCACATCTGCAGGAACCAAAGCCCCAAAACACCAGTTCACTCCCAGGCAACCTAGATCCAGACAGAAGGGACCAGGAGGACGTGTTAGCGTTAGCGGCTAATGTCAGGAACAGAGCTCAGCTGTTTGAGTCCACTCTGTTTGACTTGATCAACCACCAGAACAGAGAGGAGATGGAGACGGTGGCAGAGAGCATCAACGAGATACTGAACACTCTCTGTCACTTCAATGCCATCCACTCCCACGGATCCATCATCAAGGCTAGCGAGACAGGAAGTGGTCAGAAGGCTAGGTACAGGCTGACCCCCGGTCTGAGACCAGAGATAGAACAGGAAAATGTGGCTGAGGGCGGGGTTAGGAACTTTATACTCCAGCTGTTACCCCGGGCAACCCTTAAGCCTCAGGTAGTTTATCTGAAGGAGGATGCGAAGGGGAACGTGGAGGTTACCGTGGTGATAGTACCTTTCCATCAGGTATGTCTGGCTTCAAACCAAGACAAAGAGTTCAGAACAGCTAACGTTGTCCAGCTCATCGAGGACATCCTCAGCCAGGACAGCTCTCTGAGGAAAGGAGTAGTTATACAGGAGGATGGTCAGGGACGGGCTGAGGTCACCGTTTACTCCTTGTACAACCATTCTGAAGGAGAGGTGGAGAGGTACTATCCCCCGCAGGAACAGAGGATGGAGACGAACGTCCTAGACATTGCTGCAGGTGACAAGATTAAAACAGAGACTGGTGAAGTAAGGAGAGGCGATGTGAAGTCAACCATCAGCTCTCTCTTGGCCACCAGTCAGGACCACTCAGCCCCAGCCTCTTACAAACCTGAGGTCAATGTCATGGGGAATGTCAAGTTATTCAGGAGCTGCATTGAAAAGGGAGATCTGGAGTATCTGAAAACCCTGCAGGGCCAGCCAGAGGAGGAGAAGGAACTCCCAAACCAGACTGACACTGTGACGGGTGTCTCCACGGAGCCAAAGACACATCATCAACAACAACAACCAGAGGATCAGGTGGAACCGAATGATCCAGATATAGTCCCAGTGGATGTGAAGAAACTGAAGAACATCTTCTTAGCCCACCAGAGCTGTGGCCAACAGAAAGAGACTAAGGCAGAGAAGACCTCTAAGGAGAAGACCTCTAAAACAATAGTCCAGGTCCAGCACACCTCTGTGGAGAAGAAAGAGACGTGCTCTGATTCTGCTATAAAGACCTCCACATCCCACTCATCCACAGAGCAGCAACAGGAGGAGGAGGGAAGGTAGCGAGAGGTAATGTACAGGCAGCGCTCCATTCTCTGGAGAAGACTAGTGGCGTTAATGTCAGCCAAGGAGACTTCAAGGCTGCCATGATCTACAGCAACTCTGGGAAATCTCAGAAAGGAAGCCATAAGAAGAAGCCTGATGTGAGGTATGCTCCCCAACACAGTGAAGTAAAGACTGGGTCTCTGACTGAAGCTCAACCAGCCCCTTCAGTAGCGTTGAGTGAAGGACAAGCCATCTCTTTGAAGAGCAGTGACACTGTAGTAGAGGTCCAGCAGACCTCTGTGCAGAAGGAAGAGACAAGCTGTGATGTTGTTATAAAGACCTCCACATCCCACTCCTCTATCACCTCAGAACAGGTACCAGCACCCTGCGGCCGCAAGACCGAAGAGGCTAGCTGTGCTGCTACGGCTTCTGAAGAACTACAAAACCCAGAAGCCTGGAGAGTGGAGGTCCAAGAGGGCACTGAGGTGGTCCAGAGAGGACACTTAAAAGCTGCCATTAAGTCTTTACAGAGTGCTACAACAGAGGAGGAGGAGGAAGAGGAGAAGGAGGAGGTAGTGAGAGGTAATATAAAGGCAGCGCTCCATTCTCTGGAGAAGACTAGCGGAGTTAACGTCAGCCAAGGAGACTTCAAAGCTGCCATGATATACAGGAACTCTGGGAAATCTCAGAAAGGAAGCCATAAGAAGAAGCCTGATGTGAGGTATGCTCCCCAACACAGTGAAGTAAAGACTGGGTCTCTGACTGAAGCTCAACCAGCCCCTTCAGTAGCGTTGAGTGAAGGAGAACAGGTGGCCACCAAGGATCTGAGAGTAGCAACTGCAAAAAACAACAGCCCAGACCAAACCACAAATACACCAGCTACAGACTCCACTTTGAAACACGAATCTCAGACTGTCTCTCTCTCTCTCTCTCCTCTCTCACTCTCTCTAGCTCCCTCAAAGAAAAAGAAAAGACCTGTTGGCCCAAAACCAGGTCTTCTGCCAAAGCCAGCGGTTCCTCCTAAACCAGGTCAGATGACAGGAAGCACAGCTAGTCAGTCAACAGAGACTGAGGTACATATCAGTGACAGCCAGACCATTTCTATAAGAACTACTAGTAGTATTTCTAGTATTTCTAGTACTACTAGTAGTCAACTGAAAGAGTCAACTGAAAGTCAACTAAAAGCGTCAACCAAAAGTCAACCAAAAGAGTCAACCAAAACTCAATCAAAGGAATCAACTAAAACTCAATCAAAAGAAGAGCAACCTCCGCGACCATTCACAATCAAACCAATGTCCTATGCAGATGCCCTTTGCAGAGGCTTACAACAGACTGATAGTGTTACAGAGGCACAACAGAGTAGGTACGTATCTGAGAGGCCAGCTGGGAGCTCAGTAGGAACCGCTGATACAGGGGCTGTCGAGGCCAACCAACACACTGGTGATGCAACCCAGCTCAATGAGGAAATGACATTAAACCAGGAAGGTCAAGGGTCTGAGGCCATCCCTCAGAGACAGAGTAGCTCTAACTCTGTACCAGTGGAGGAGTGCAACACTAAGTCACCACAGGAGAGGACTACTACAGAGCAGAGCCAGGGAGCAGGACCCAAGGGGGCCCCAGAGGACCAAGAGGAGAAGGTCAATGAAGCACTTCAAAGCTTTGGAGGGAAGAAGGGGGCAGGAGAGGAGAAGAGGGCTGGAGGGGAGAAGGGGGCAGGAGAGGAGAAGAGGGCTGGAGGGGAGAAGGGGGCTGAAGGGGAGATGGGGGCTGGAGGGGAGAAGAGGGCTGGAGGGGAGAAGGGGGCAGGAGAGGAGAAGAGGGCTGGAGGGGAGAAGGGGGCTGGAGGGGAGAAGAGGGCTGGACGGGAGAAGGGGGCTGGAGGGGAGAAGAGGGCTGGAGGGGAGAAGGGGGCTGGAGGGGGGAAGGGGGCTGGAGGGGAGAAGGGGGCTGGAGGGGAGAGTAAAGCCCCTGTGAAACCTAAACGAGTTAAGATGACCCAGAGTGACGAGAACCAGAAACACACTTCTGAGATTAACACCTCCACTTCTCTCACAGTTACACATACTGCTGTGGGACAGCAAGCCAGTGACTCTTCTCAGCCTTATCCATGCAGTAAACCACAGAACAACTCTAATAACGACATCCAGGAAGAAGAGAAGGAAAACACAGTGGCAATGAGGGAGAAGAAAGCGGATATGAAAGCAGAGACGGAGGACGAGCGTGGCCAGAGGCTGTCGGTCCACATGGATAAGATCATGAGGGGTAATGTGACCATGGCAATGGAGATCTTCGACAACCTGAGGAAGCAGGAGGAGCTGAAGGAGATCTTGACCTGGGTGGAGGAGGTGGGGAAGGACACCAGCCAGGTGGACGTCAGGGCCCTCAGGAACATCTTTGAGAATGTACCTGACTGGGTCGTTGCCCCGAGAGTCAAGAGTCAACGTAAACAACAACAACAGACCAAGGTGGAACAGAAGGCTGAGATCTCAGAAGTGAAGAGATCAGAGACGCCGAAAGACGATACCGAGACCTCAATGTCCTCCATGGCTCTCGTGTTCGGAAATCTAGAGAGAGCAAGTGAGGAGATCATGAATCTGAAGGAGCAGACGTTAGCCAGACTGATGGACATAGAAGAGGCCATTAAGAAGGCTTTGTACTCTGTGTCCACTCTGAAGTCAGACTCCGACATCGCTGGTCTGTCTGGCCTGTTTAAGGAGACAGCAGCCCAGACTCAAGGCTCCAGCAGCAACATCAGCACTATCAGTACCGGCTCCAGCAGCAACATCAGCGCTATCAGTACCGGCTCCAGCAGCAACATCAGCACTATCAGTACCGGCTCCAGCAGCAACATCAGCACTATCAGTACCGGCTCCAGCAGCAGAGCTAAGACGGCCCAGGGAAAGGACAGCCCTACCACTATGACACAGAGAGACCCAGGTCTGCCAGTGATACCGGAGGCTGATCAGGGACCAGGGCTGAAGGAGCCTGTCATTAAGTCCCGGATCAGTCCTCCATCCTCCCCCTCCTTCATCTCCATCCAGTCTGCAGCCAGGCAGGAGTCAGAAGACAGACAACAGGAGTCTGCAGACAGACAGAAGGGTTCTGCAGCCAGACAAAAGACAGAGTCCTCCCTGCAGCGTCCACTGTGCTCAGCCTGTCAGCTCAGCCCAAAGTGTTGCCCTTCCGGTAGCCCCTGTAACAGAAGCCCTCTCAATCAGAAAGGTCAGGTCAGCGTACTCGAGGTGAAGACAGCCCCAGAGGGGAGTTGGGGTCGTTGGCACTAAAGACAGAGAATGACAACTATGAGAACACAGTAGAGTTTGTCAACCAGGTCTACTCCACTAAGACCTCCACTGTGGTGGCCAGTCAGCCAGACACCAGCACCTCTTCTATGGGTCAGGTAGTGACCACCAGTCCAACCAGGTATGGGGTAGTCACATACCCAGAGGTCAAAGTCATCTTGCCTATCAACAAACCTTCAGCGCCTTTTAAAAATGGCGCTTGCGACGGCAAGGGTATTGCGTTCGATTTCCGCTGGGGCCACCCATACAAAAATGTATGCACTCATGATTGTAAGTCGCTTTGGCTAAATGGCATATCTTATAAACTGTTTTATTGAATGAGAAAAGACGCTTGAGGTTTGAAAAAAATTACAGTAAGGGAGACAAGCTCTTTTTCCCCCTCAGGAAATGTTATATTTTATAACAACTGCTTCATAATCAGTGAGTAGTCTTCTGATGGTATTGAGAGAGCAAATTTGTTTAATCGAAACGCATTATAATATTATTACTACCTTTTTTGTTCTATTCTGAATTGAATTTGATGTGTTTAATATTGATTCTTTAAAGTGTGTGATTTCATTAAACATTTGTTTTCTTACTTTTTGGATAGAATTGTAATAAAATGTTGTTGGTATGTTCTCTTGTTCCTCTTTGTCTATCATTATATTATCAACAACTAACTGGATCAACACACACTTTATTTATGATCTGTCCTTATTATCAACAACTAACTGGATCAATACACACACACACAGCAGACCTCCCTGAGGAGTTGTTCTTGCCAAAGCTACAACTTCGCAACAAGAGTCAGATCTCTTTCTTTCCTCTTTCCAAATATAACAAAAACATGAGATGAAATTCATAGCCATTCATTGTTTTCAGTCATTAAACACGAGCCAGCTAGCAGCTAGTCCACATTGCAGCTGTTTGCCATGTAATAGCTTGTATCTAGTGTTCCAAAATTACGGTAACTTTCCCAAAATTCCCTAGTTTTCCAGAAATCCTGGTTGCAGGATTCTAGATCTCTCTGCTTATTCGCTCACGATTCCTTGAATCTTCCTACCAGGATTTCAGGAAAAACCTGAGAATTTTGGGAAAGTTACTGGAATTTTGCAGCCCATATTCTTACCAGGTTGGAAGATTCATCATCACTGTCCCACCCGTTCTTGCCCTCTAAACAGGACATGTGTTCATCCTGCCTGAAGCCAGTTTATCCCATGGAGAAAATTATGGCAGATAAATTCATATTTCATTTTTACATTTTAGTCATTTAGCAGACGCTCTTATCCAGAGCGACTTACAGTTAGTGAGTGCATACATTTTCCATACTGAACTGTTTCTGCTGTAAGCACTGTCAGAAATAGCTCATGTGAGACAATGAGATCTGCTCAACAGTGTTAACCAATCAAAGTCATCGATGATTCATTAATTATTCACAGAATCCTTGGTGAATGTAAATTCACTCACAGTCACTTGTCAATTGGGAATCAAACTCTTATTAAAATTATGTTTATTACATGTACCATAAAACTTTAAACGCAGAGTCCCTTTTAATAGCCGGGCAACGGGACACATTTCAGCAAATAAACACCTGTTTCAAATAAACACCGGATCTAAATACATTGTTTACGAGGTTACCATGAATTACCATGAATTACCATGAATTACTTACGTGGTTTAATGTTTGATTTGTTACATTTAATAATTTGGTAATGACTCGAAAAAATTGATGGTAATCATCACTTTTTATTGCCAGTACGAAACCGCTAGTTAATAGCTGAGAACTGCTAGCTACCTGGCTGCTAACAGCTGAGAACTGCTAGCTAACTGGCTGCTAACAGCTGAGAACTGCTAGCTACCTGGTTGCTAACAGCTGAGAACTGCTAGCTAACTGGCTGCTAACAGCTGAGAACTGCTAGCTACCTGGCTGCTAACAGCTGAGAACTGCTAGCTAACTGGCTGCTAACAGCTGAGAACTGCTAGCTACCTGGCTGCTAACAGCTGAGAACTGCTAGCTACCTGGCTGCTAACAGCTGAGAACTGCTAGCTACCTGGCTGCTAACAGCTGAGAACTGCTAGCTAACTGGTTGCTAACAGCTGAGAACTGCTAGCTAACTGGTTGCTAACAGCTGAGAACTGCTAGCTAACTGGCTGCTAACAGCTGAGAACTGCTAGCTAACTGGTTGCTAACAGCTGAGAACTGCTAGCTAACTGGCTGCTAACAGCTGAGAACTGCTAGCTAACTGGCTGCTAACAGCTGAGAACTGCTAGCTAACTGGCTGCTAACAGCTGAGAACTGCTAGCTAACTGGTTGCTAACAGCTGAGAACTGCTAGCTAACTGGCTGCTAACAGCTGAGAACTGCTAGCTAACTGGCAGCTAACAGCTGAGAACTGCTAGCTAACTGGCTGCTAACAGCTGAGAACTGCTAGCTAACTGGTTGCTAACAGCTGAGAACTGCTAGCTAACTGGCTGCTAACAGCTGAGAACTGCTAGCTAGCTGGCTGCTAACAGCTGAGAACTGCTATCAGAATACGGACGATCGCCCTTTAGTGGTGAAGGTAGGAACTGCCGAAAATGCACAGTCAGAGGAGAATAATTATTCTGTCAAGGAAAATATTTTTTTACAAGATAGAGGCATATTAAGACAAAAGAAACGTGACACAAACCACGTTTCAATCAACCCATTTCATGCAGATGAATTACTTGACTTATGAAAAAAGTCACGACCAGGCTGATGGAAACATGACGACAGACAATTTGTTCGTTCGACATGGTGGGATCTTTTTGTGTCTGTTAAATTAATTATGCGAGAAATTGGGGTGGAAATGTCTTTATGTGCAAATATTGATATAATAACCATAATATCGAAGTAAATGTGGATTTTATTAGGCTACAAATAATATTGCTCTTATCCGTAATAATCTCATAATGTAGGTTGCCTACCTGCACTGTGTGTGTGAGCTGTTGGCTAGAGCGCATGTGCCAAGACCTGAGTGGGCACATTCACTATATAACGCAACAGGTTGTGACAAAACCATCAGTAGAGTTGAAAATGTGATGGAAACCCATTTTACTTGTATTTTTCATCTGGTATTCAACAGCAAAAGTTATTTTTATGTGCGCTACGTCGTCACGCACACCCTTTTATCCGCAAAAATTCAGTTTGATGGAAACACATCTCTGGTGGGAAAATGTGCTTATTGTTTTATGCAGATATTAGAATATTTGCATGAAAATCTGTCTCCAAATGAAACCTAGTGTGTAAATGACAACACGGAGCAGGAAATGAAGACAGTTATTAAAATGCTGGACATGAACGCTGGAATTAAACAATTAACTATGCAAATGATCAAAAGGTGTGTGCATTAAGGAAATAGACGGAGTGTGTCTGCTTGTTGTAGCATGAGCAGCTATGCTCCGCTGCACGGCCAGTTCTAGTATGTATTCCACAACCAGCAGCTGTTCAGGAGGAAAGAGAACTATGACAAGGGCTTTGGCCACAACCAACACGAAGACCGCTGGCTGCAGAGAACCAATGAGACGCCGGGGTCACGGCACCAACGTCATA